AGTAAATTTGATATTGGGATGCCTGTTGGTGAGGTAATTTCTCTTCAAAGTAAGTAGTATTAAACTTCTCGCCTTAGCAAAATCACGCGCAGATTAAATTGTTATTTAAAGCTTGAGGCTGGTTGCCCTAGACCTTAGTAGAATTCTAGCATTCTACTGAGGCCGAATCGACTATCACCCCATAGGAATCGCGAGCTCATAATCCAGTTGCCAATTATTATACATCTCGTCAAAAAGTAACTTTATTTCTTTATTTAGGTCAGAGTCACTAATTAGTTCGAGGAAATAGGCTACTTCTCGACCAAAAATCTCTTTTAGTTAATAAAAAACGCAAATAAATAAATGCTTTTCTCAAGTCGCACCGCAAAAGAGTAACTTCACCATACACTTCTTGGATTACGCATTTCAAATCCCTGCTGCGCTTCGTTGATTTAACAGCTTACCTCGGGAGTAAACGAGTCCTCATCCCACCCGCTAGCTACAGTGGGCTGGCGGGAGGCTCCGCCCAGCTTCTCAGACACCAGGGAGTCTTCATCAGCAGCGGAAGACTTGCTCTGTCTTGTACTGCCTCTAGTTTGCTGAGTAGTCTGGTAGTTTACATTGAAAAAACAAAATAAGCTCAACATAACAGCGAGGGACACGCATTAATTTGCGAAAAATCGAAGATTTGAGTATTGTGAATTCACATACCTTTTTGTTTGGTGGCATGTTCTGAGATGTTTTGCTTTTAGACGAAGGTGGAGCAAAACTATCGACAGACCAGTCATCATTCTCCCAATCACCATAGTCGCTCCCACTTTCCGCTCCGTCTGCATCGCCCAGGAGACTTGCGGGACGTCTGAGAGACTGGGAACCGAGAAATGGAAGTTAAACACAAACCAACTTTTTCTCAAGCGTTTAGTTTATATATCAGAATATGAAACAGTTCTCTAAGAATAAAGTCTTACCGACTCTTTCTTTTCAGTTTGAAATGCTGTAATTTCTTCTTTTGCTGCTAAGAGATCGCTTTTCAGTTCCTCCATATCAGGTTCCTTTGAAGAAGTGAACAAAATAGGACATGAGCCAAGTACGAAATGAACCTCTTTTCTGGGCGCACGTGGCTTAGGCCGGGAAAATAGAAAGAGGACAGGGTCTTCTCTCTTATTCTCCCTTTTCTATGAAAGCCTGGAGGAAGCTGAAGCGCACTGTAACAATAACACACGGCTTTTTTTCCTAAAACTCTAGCAGCATTACACAAAACGCTTCCAATTACAATTGCCCAATCATAAATAGCACTCGCTAGGTACACTATGTAACTGCTTAAAAGAACCATCCCTCGTGTAGACCTGAAAAGGTCTCTAGACGAAAAAAAATTCCAGTTCCCATTTGTTCAAATAAGTTGGATCTAAACCAAGAACTTAAATCAGCCTGAATAGCGTTTGGCAGCCAGCAGTCAACATAACAAACGTGTTTGTTCAAAGAGCGGTTTTCAACTGAATGTCGTAAAACAAAACCATACCAATTACGTATAAATTACGTACCAATTACACTACTCAGCCAATCTCAAACCGTAGTAAAACCAAAACGTAATTGTCTGAAAAAAAGTAATTGTCTGATTACTTTCGACACTCAATTGAAAACCGCCCTATAACACATCGCTAGAGAGAATATAGAACAATTACTCTAAACATACACATCGAAGGAACACGAACATGTCCAGGTCTTCGTTTTCTTTCATTTTCAGCAAAATCAAACAAAACTTTGGTGTAGTTAATTGTGAAGAGATTGCTACAGTCTGTTTCAACAACAAAAAGCTCCCATCGTGAAGGTTATTAAAAACACGCAACAAAAAGAGAACTTTCTCTATCTGCCTATGTTGCCCACTACTTCCACCCCCACGGGGGAGTTAGTGTCCCTCCCTTACCTGAGCATCATTCCACTCTTCCCCCCTCCAATGAATCCTCTCTGTTCCTCCCCCTGGGGAACGTTAGCGCCCCTCAGCTGTTCATTAATCCATCCACTCGTCACTCACTCCAATCCCCTCCGTAACCAGTTTTCGCCCCCCCCCCCCCCATAGGGAGAGAGTCATTTCCCCTTACCTGAGCATCATTCCACTCGTCCTCGCTCCAGTCCCCTCCATAATCACTTCCCGAGTCTTGACCCTTGTCTTTGTCTGTGGCCTGTTTAGTCTCTGGAGACACTGTGCTTGTTGTTTGACTGACAGCCGTTGTGTCTGCTGAGAGAAATATCAACATCGTCTTTCAGTGAAGACACTCGAAGGGGAACAATTAGGTAGCTGTTGTGTTCTTGGGTATCACAATTATTTCTCAGAAATCTTCCTCACCCAAAAGCAAAAAA